GAGGCGGGGTTAAGAAAAAAAAAAAAAAAAAAAAAAAAAAAAAAAAAAGGGTGGCGGTGGCAAGTCCCACATGTCTTAAAACACCGCTGCTAATAATTTGAAAGGCAAGTTTCTTTATGAAAGCAGGCAGCAATTTTAAAGCAGCCACTGACACTGGAGAGCAAGACAGAGCCCTGGCAATTGTCTACAGCAGACGCAGAAGACGGGGTGATCCAACCCAGCAGCAACCAGGAAACTGGGAGGTGACAGTGCCAGGAAGGGCACCAGACTGTATGAAGACTAGAGAGAGTAACAAACAAACCCAAGAAATTCTTGGCAGAAGGGCTCGGCGAAGAACATTAGGAAGTATTTCAGACTCCAGCTGGGTATGCTGCTCCCAAATAGGACAAGAAAAACAAAACTGTTGCTGCTTTGCTGCTCTGAGTCAGTAGGTTAAGACCTGCACTTGTGCAATTCATCAGTGGGACTGAGGAGACCAACGTCTGCCTGTATCTCCTTGCTCCACATCCCCTCCTTCCCACGCCTCCCCCCAAACCCTGCCACTATTACAGCACTTCCTCAGGAGGAGATGCCTGCAGCAGTTCACGTGTAGCAACGATGGTGAAGAGGCACAGCATGGACCAGCGAGTAACTGAGTTCTGATTTCTTAAGAAAACAGGACAATGGAAAAATGGCACGAGTGATCTGATTATTGAGCTTAAGCCCCTTCTCAAAAATGAAAGGTATTTTTATAACTTGTAATTCCATCTGTAAAAGTGCTCTATATTCTACTGTGTTGAATGCAGATATCTCAGCATTCCCTGGATCAGAGTCCCAGTTTGGAGGCCATTAAAATACTGGTATTTCAGTACAGCCGCAATTTCATTTTCAGCCAGATCAAGGCCCGATACATATCGTTGTCTCAACGACTGTCAAAGATGAATAAGCTATGACAACTACAGTTACAACATTATCAAGCCTTTATGCAAGCCATTGAAAGCAAATTTCAAAGGCCGATTTGTTTTCTGTCGATAGTTAAGACTCGGTTATGCTTTCATAACTGGAAAACAAAAATTTTGTAAAAGGTCAGGTGATGGAAAAAAGTGATTACAAAAGGGGAAGTGGCAATGTAAGAACAAGGGCGGAAAAAAAAGGCTAGCATTAAAGAACAGCATTTATATATAAAAATTTATTTAGGTGAAGTCACAAACAGTTTAATATCAATTTACAAACACTTCATGTTATGCATATTATTGAAACTATCAAGAAAGGTAAAGGAGAGCAGATAATGGCAGCTTTTTCCTGAAACAACTAAAGGCATACCCTTACCATCATGCGTGTTACTGGATCATAGTATTACCTTGATCATACTTCCTAGTATGCAAGGGAAAAGGAAAAGAAAACAAAATACTGAGATGTAGAATGATTAAACCGTGAACCAGTGAATATGATTTTCATGAACACCAGACTACAAAGGTCTAGTCTGATGCTCAGGATCTTAAGTATTCTACGAGGACAGAGTAGTAATTTAGGTCAATTATTATATTTGATCAAGAATTTTGTAATGCACAATTGGGCTATAACTGATTTCTGGCAATGACAGCAATGGCTAATGCAGTTTTCAGAGAAGAGTGGAGAGGCGATATTGAGCCTCACAGAATAATTCTGTTGACAACCTGAGTTATTATACCAAGTGTATGATACTGTTTCAAGTCAAATACACATTTATGTTGCAGATATTCTCAATGAAATGGTAAAAGTAACAGCTGTAACAAGACAAGTTATGATTTATTTTTTTTTTAAAAACAAATATAGTACATAGGTTTTTGAAGTGTCCGGTTGTGATCTGCAAAGATCCAGGATTGCACACAAGTTTGCTCAAATGAGAAGGGTTAATCTGCGCATTAAATTGGCTTATACTTTCAAAGTAGTATTTTAGGGCAGGGTTCTCCTCCGGGAGACTGTTCCTGACCTCATTCAACCAATGTTCAATTTATTCACCTTCCTGAATCTTTGCCCTCTTTGGATAGTCTGTGACAAGTGCTGCGCTGGAGGAATTCCTGTTTTCCAGCAACTGGCTTGCTCTGCAGGTTTGTAGTCCATTGTTACAATTGCTGATTGGGTAAAATGAATTTCCTATGTCTTCTCTAGCACAGCTTGCAACGCAACAGAAGCAGAGGTAAAAGAATGCACTAGAATACCAGAGCTCCACTTAAACACCAACGGAGTCAGGCTGTTGGCACCAATAAGAAATTCTGTATTTAACAAATCTGCAAATATTTAAAATCCAAAGTTAGTCAGTTTTATATATAAACTCACCCACTTAGTCTGACTGCCATCCCAACTGGCCTTCTGTTTTCATGGAGTCTGCAAAAAAAATTGAGAATTGTCTGAAGTTAACGCAAACATAAATTTGCGGGAATCAATCTCAGCTATCCGACATACGCGCCAATTATCGCACTCAAACTAAAACTAGGGTTTCTCACTTTGTTCCTTCTGTGTAAAGCAAAGTCACAGCTCTTCATCGGTGTCTTAGAAAGGACAGCTACCTTCAAACACAACACTTTTTGTTTTCCTTGACTTTGTTTTCACTGCTTAACCTTCTGTGGAACTGCAGAACCAGAGACACAGGCACTACATCAAGCCGAAATTTAAGGAGCCTTCAACGGAAAGGGGAAATGAAATCCAGTCAGGCTGCCTAATGCTATCCCTTGAAATTATGAAAACAAAACCAGTTCAAACAAACAATCTGGAGGAAAAGGTCTTTGTAAAACACCTCCTTTTCCTCCTGACAGCATGAATGTGGAAAAGCTTAGGTTCTGGCCAAAGCTGTAAGCCCATAAAAGGCTATTCTCTCCCATTTTAATTCTCTGATCCTTTTGCCCAAATGTGAAGTCACATCTTATTTCTCTGAAGTAGTTTTACACAACATAATTAGAGCTTGCGAGGAGCTGGGGAGGCACGGGGGAAGCCCACAGGTCACCTCCAAGAGAGCAACATTTCCTTGCTGCTGCCTTGCCAATGATAAATTCATGCTTTATCCTAGGCCTCTGTTGTGGTTTATCCCCGCAGGCAGCTAAACACCGCACAGCCGTTCGCTCACTCCCCCCGCCCCCAGTGGGCTGGGG